GACAGAAATTAGTGAAATCCTAAAAAAGCAGTATGAGGAAATGTTTAGCACTCCAATAAACAACATGAAAGTGGAAGATCCAGACAATTTCTTTATGCGGGATATTCAAACCCCTGTAAATATAACTGATATCAACACGAGCGCACTAAATTTTTAAAGAGAAATTGAAAACATGCCCATGCACTCGGCCCCAGGTCCAGACTCATGGAATTCAATATTTATAAAGAAATACAGTGCCGGTAGCACAGGCACTCAGTATAGTGTGGAGGAAGAGCTTGGACACGGGGGAGATACCAGATGCACTTAAAGTAGCAGACATAGCCCCTCTACACAAGGGAGGGAGCAAAGCATTGGCAAAGAATTATAGACCCGTTGCACTAACATCGCACATCATAAAAGTATTTGAGAGAGTGATTAGGAGTCAGGTCACCAATTTCATGGAGACCAATGACCTTCACAACCCAGGCCAACATGGATTTCGAGCGGGAAGATCGTGCCTCTCACAGCTACTTGAGCATTACGACAAAGTCACTGAGGCATTAGAAGAAAAACAGAATGCTGATGTGATATACACGGACTTCGCAAAGGCTTTCGATAAGTGTGACCATGGCGTGATAGCACACAAAATGAAGTCAATGGGAATAACCAGTAAAGTAGGACGCTGGATACTCAGTTTTCTGTCAAACAGGACTCAGCAAGTAATGGCCAACCATATAAAATCTAGTCCAAGTGCAGTGAAAAGCTCTGTACCTCAGGGTACAGTCCTTGCACCGCTGCTTTTCCTTATTCTCATATCAGATATAGACAAAAATACAAGTCACAGCTTCGTATCATCCTTTGCAGATGACACAAAAATCAGTATGAAAATTATTTCGGCTGAAGACATTGAAAACTTCAAGCTGATATTAATAAAGTTTTCGACTGGGCATCAGAAAATAACATGATGTTTAACAGTGATAAATTCCAGGTACTCAGGTACGGTAAAAATGAGAACCTTAAACATAATACAGTGGTACCTCGGAATGCGAGTGTCCCTGTATGCGAGTTTTTCGGAAGACGAGCAGGATTTCCTCAGAAAATATGTCTCGGAAGGCGAGGGTTACCTCGGAACGCGAGTTTGTTGATACGTGTACAGGCCGACTGGCGCGTGGTGGCATGGCGATCGCGCCTCAGTTTACCAGTGTCTCGTGTCCAGTGACTATCCCACCTGAATTCTTCACAAGGATTTACAGTTTTTTATCGGTTTTTTGGCCATTTGAGCATAAAAGTTGTCATTATATATCTTGCCATGGGTCTCAAGAAAGCCATTGGTAAGGTTCAACCTAAGAAAATAGCTGTGAGTAGAGGCATAGAGGATCCCTTCTTGATTAAGAAAATGTGTGAAGTATGGGAAGAACTGCAAAGTTTTGTTGAAAAAACTCACCCAGATAAAGCTGTAGCAGGCCGTTGCATTGACCTTTTAAATGACAATGTGATGTCTTACTACAGACAAGTGTTAAAATGTAGGGAAAAACAAGTGTCATTAGACAAATTCTTAGTAAAACAAGCAAGTCCTAGTGGTATGCAGGCAAAATGTGCAGTGTGTGCATACCAGTGAAGTCCTCACTGCCTGATGTGATAATGGAAGGGGACTCTCCTTCCAAACAGTAACTCCTCTCTTCCTCCCACCTCCTCACCATCTTCCATACGCCTACAGCATTCAACAGCAAGGTAAGTAATAACTTGAACATAGTTTTGTAGGTTTATTTAGATGAATTAGGTATAAAAATTTAGTTTGATGTGGGGGTTTTTGGGGTAGTCAGGAACGGATTAATTCATTTCCCTTTATTTCTTATGGGGAAATTAGCTTCGGAATGCGAGTTTTCGGAATACGAGGCGTCTCCAGGAACCAATTAAACTCTTAAACTGAGGTATGCCTGTACAGAGTACAAAATACAATCAAATGTACCCATAGTAGGAAAACAGCATGTAAAGCATTTGGGAATAATAATGTCTGACGACCTAACGTTTAAGGAGCATAACCAAGCAAATATTGCGACAGCCAGAAAAATGATAGGATGGATTACGAGAACTTTCAAATCCAGGGATCCCATCACAATGGTTGTACTCTTCAAGTCACTTGTGTTGTCCCGTCTTGAGTACTGCTCAGTACTCACTTCCCCCTTCAGAGCAGGAGAGATTGCTGAAATAGAGGGAATACAGAGAACATATACGGCACGCATACATGCAATAAAGCACCTAAATTATTGGGATCGTCTCAAAGCCCTCCAAATGTACTCACTAGAAAGAAGACGAGAGAGATATAAAATAATATACACCTGGAAGATACTGGAGGGCCAAGTACCAAATCTAAACAGTAAAATAACAACGTACTGGAGTGAACGATATGGAAGAAAATGTAGAATAGAACCAGTGAAGAGCAGAGGTGCCATAGGCACAATCAGAGAACACTGTATAAACATCAGAGGTCCGCGGTTGTTCAACGTCCTCCCAGCAAGCATAAGAAATATTGCCGGAACAACCGTGGACATTTTCAAGAGGAAACTAGATTTATTCCTCCAAGGAGTGCCGGACCAACCGGGCTGTGGTGGGTATGTGGGCCTGCGGGCCGCTCCAAGCAACAGCCTGGTGGACCAAACTCTCACAAGTCAAGCCTGGCCTCGGGCCGGACTTGGGGAGTAGAAGAACTCCCAGAACCCCATCAACCAGGTATCAACCAGGTTCCCTAGGTGCCCAGTAAGTACTGGGCACCCTTGGGGCCATCTTTCACAAGTCACCTTGGTGGCAACCTCTGTAAGGTCTTTTGCTGCTCGGTGATTGACCGCCCTTGGAGTCGGCTGAGCTGAGGTGTTTCCTTCACTCCTCTTTGCCTCTGGGTAGGGGATAGTATTCATCAGTGGTTGGGGTACAGGATGCTGTGCAGCTAGTTGTAACCTCTCATAGCGACCAGCTCTGTTCCGCCTGGGTACATTGTCCACTTGTGGGGTTTTCTTTGGTTTTTGTTTTCTTGCCTGGTGGATACCTGGTTGATGGGGTTCTGGGAGTTCTGGGGTCGGTACAGGTGACCTCTTGTGGCCCAGGTTGATGTCACCAGTTTCCAGTTGCCCGATTTATAACCACTGATGCCGCCTCTTGCCACTATTCTATATTTCTAGTATTCTATATTTATAATATTCACTTCCGACTTATATGTTGTTGTGATACCCGTTCCACATCACTGTTCCACGAATCACCGTTCAATTTTTTTTTTTTTTTTCCTAATACACGCATGTACACAAAGCCTCGTTCACTGGCTCACACGCGGTCTCCCGTTTATTCTCTATTTAACACAAAGTTCTATTGTTAATGACTATTTTCAATTTTCCAGCGGGTCACTATGCACTTTGTTATGTCTGTAATCAGTAATCCACGGCAGTAGTCCTAAGAATCCCTGTTAATGTCACAATTTTAACGGAGCGCGCACAGTACGTCTACTCCCTCCCTCGACCTCGACCTGACCTCTGGAGGTCTGCCCTTGGTTTTCGTCTCACCCACTTGTATCTTGCTGGTATCCCGCTAGGCCCCCGTGATCGTACACATCTCGGGGAAGCAGCTTTAGCAGTTTGTTGGTAATTTTGGGCGCCAGTTAAAGTACCCTGCTTGGGCTTCCCTGAGCGTGTGTTCTGCCTCAGGACCCTGGGAAACCCCGCGGTGGCACTGGGGCATTGGGTCCAATGGAAGCGACCCCTGGGTCCACTTTCACCTTGCGCGAGTTTGAGGGTTGCTCGGCCCCTTTGTCTCCGGGTGACCTTCACCATTTATGCCTCCGTCATGCTGCCTGCTGGGTCGGTGACATCTTCGACATAGAGTCCTGCGAGTTTTGTTGCTTGTCTGTGACTCGTTACACCCAGTCCACTGATGACTATTCGGGTGCAGGCAGCTCAGGCATTGCACGCTTGTTTTAGGTTGCTGCAGCGTGCTAGATTGGTTGCTGACCCGGAAGCCCCGAGGCTGCCTCGTTTTAGTTATTGGGAACCGGACTTGGGGGTGTTAGTCGCTTCGACTTTGTTTCAGTCTGTGCTTTCTCGTCCTTCCCCTGCTGTGTTTCGTTCTTGTTTCCCCCCCACCCCCTCCTGCCTTCAGCTCCGAAACGTCTGAGTATTTCGGTGTCGGGGCAGGGTTTAGTTGGTTTCGAAACTCGGGCAGTCTTGGGGGATGCCCCTTTCGGAGTGGTGACAGAGGTATTCGAGCCTGTGCCTCCTGCTGAAGCATCTGGGTCTGATCAGTGGGCCCCCCTTCCTTCCTGCTTTTCCAGCTGCTCCGGCTTTTCCTTTTGAGGCCAGGGCTTTAGGGGGGTGGCTCGGCCCCTAGGTCCTGCTGTGGAGGTTCCTGGGGCTGGGGAGGGGTTGACTTGGGAGCCTTGGGCCCTGTTGGATCCCACTTGGGTTTTTGTACCCTCTCAGCAGGGCTTACTGTTGCAGGAGGGTGGGGTTTTCCTTTCCCCCCCTCTTTGCGTACGAGTTGGATTTGGTGTTCGTCCCTCCCCGGTTTCATTTCTGTGTCCCTTCGGGTCCGTCGGTCACGTCCTTCCAGGGTTTTTTTGGCTTCCCACATCCCTCCCAACGAGGTGGGGGAGTCCATTGCAGCTTACCTCTTGCATAACACAGATTTCGCCTCTAATGGCTCGGTCTTCATCTTCAGTTCCTTACTGGGTTCGTTATGAGGTTCCGGAGTCGTCTTGGCTTGTGGACTACCTTGTTTTCTTGTTGGAGGCTTGACATACGTTCTGTTGGTCTTGACATACGTGCTTGGGACCGTTCCTGGGTCTGGTGTCTTAGTCCGTCTTAGTAATGTGGCTGTTAAAATGCAATATATAATAATTCAACAGTAAGGTAAAGTATTAAGGTAACTGTATGTTAACAAAGCAGGATGATCTACATTATGATAAAAACATAAGTATAATAAGCTCTTAAAAGACAAAATTATCTGGAAACTTATATTGTTTCCTATCTCATAAACAGATGAATGGCAGCATGGTGGCTGGAATTCAACTTAAAGTTTCCCTTGCACGTCGACAACCCGTTATAGATCCCATTAATGATGCTTCGTCTTCAGCAACGTGGTCAACAATTGGTGAGTACTCAGTGCATTGTCATTTACCATTGAAATGCTGTAGCATTAATAATGACTTAATGATGGTACTTCTTCTTTTTAGACATTTAATTTGCATTGAAAATCTATATTCATGAATAAGAAATAGTAATGTCTTCTCACGGACAAATACATAAGTGTAGGTTTTTATCCTATTGATAAAAACATATGATAAATGTTTTAATTAAGATAAAACATAGGATAAAAATCTGCACTTATGTATTTGTGTATATTATGTAAAGAGTTACACTAAGTCTTTCTTACTCTTTTGAGTGCTTTATCTTGGTCTGAGTATGTGGTTAGAATGAGACTTGGATCTCGACAATAGTGGTTTAATGCAACATTAGTCGTTGAAATGTCTTGTTCTAACCACACACTCAGACCTTAATATAGCACTCAGGAGTGTGTAAAAGACTTGCTGTAGAATCGTGCATAAAATACACAAGTGTGGGTTTTATCCTATATTCATGAACATTCAAGTGTCGACATTTATGCAAGTCCAAAACTATAAATCATAAAATGTTTACACATTTATTATAGCTAGAAACAAATTTCAAATACATTATTCATTTGTAGAACAAAAGGGTAATATTAGTAGCCAAACACTAATCATTTTAATTATTAATTATATAGTGTATAATAAAACACTTCCAGTCAGTTTGAAGTGATGTTTATCAAGTGAAATAAATAAAAATGTTAGTAAATTGTAAAAATAATTAACTTTATATAACTTATACATGTTATATAATATGCAGTGGCACCTCGACTTACGATTGTCCCGACTTACGATAATTTCGAGTTACGATGTAAATTTGATAGAAAAATGCAACTCGACTTACGATAGTGTCCTCGACTAACAATATTTGTTGGTACACGTTTTGGTCGACCGAGCGCATGGTTCCCGGTTGTGCGGGCCAACCTGCCTCAGTTTACTAGAGTTGCCCGCTTAGTGATGATCATGCCTGTAAGAAATTCCGTTTTGTGGTGATTTTTGCTTTTTGAACATAAAACTGATTCTTGGGACCCATGGCGTGATATATAATAAATTCAGTGGTTTCAACATATGAAAACCCATGTAAGGATGACCATAGACCAAAAACAAGAGATCATTCGTAAAAATGAAGATGGCTACCTTGACCTACCTTGAGTTTACCTTGAGGTGCCTCCGGGGCTTAGCGTCCCCGCGGCCCGGTCGTCGACCAGGCCTGCTGGTTGCCGGACTGATCAACCAGGCTGTTGGACGCGGCTGCTCGCAGCCTGACGTGAAATGAATGGCGTGCGGGTTGTTGAACTAGCTTAGCTAGGCAGTACAACAAATCTCAGTCAACGATATTCACCATACTTGCTAAGAAAAAGGACATTATAAGTGCTAAAGTGGCAAAAGGCGTATCAATAATCAGGAAACATAGAACACAAACACTTGAGGATGTTGAACAGTTATTATTAATTTGGATACGAGGCAAGGAGTTAGCTGGTGATAGTCTCAGAGGCCATCATTTGTGGAAAGGCAAGGAAATTGCATGAAGACCTTTTAAAGAAAACCCCTGGAACGAGTGTTGCAAATGCGAAAGAGTTTAAGGCGAGCAGGGGATCGTTTGAGAAATTTAGAAATAAGAAGTGGCATTCATAGTGTTGTGAGTGTTGTGTGTTGCGAGCTGGTGGAGGAACACAGCGAAGAACTGACCACCGAAGAACTTCACAAGGAGCAGCAACAAGAGACAGCTGAGGAAATTTCTTCACGGGAGGAGGAAACAGTACAGAATGTCCCTTCCTCATTAATTAAGAAAATGTGTGCAGCATGGGAAGAATTGCAAACTTTTGCTGAAACGATTCGCCTAAATCACGGTGCAGTAGGCCGTTGCCTTAACCTTTTTAATGACACTGTGATGCCTCACTACAGACAAAAATTAAATCGTACGGAAAAACAAAAATCTTTGGAAAGGTTTTTAGTGAGACAAGCAAGCAGTGAATCACAACCAGGTCCTAGTGGTATGCAGGCAAAACGTAGGAGAGTGTGTACCCCAGAGAAGTCATCACTGCCTGATGTTATAATGGAAGGGGACTCCCCTTCCAAACAGTAACACCTCTCCTCCTCCCCCCCCCCTCCTCACCATCTTCCATACGCATCAAGAGTCCTCCATAAAGGTAAGATAAACATATGTACTGTATTGTAGTTAGAGAAAAAAATTGTATTCAGGATGAAATGTATTTTAAAGTTATTATTTCTTGGGGTATGGAACAATTTAAACTTTTGCCTTATTTAAAAGCAAAACAAAAAAGTACCTAACTTCATCTTCTTAGTTTCCTACACTGAGCTTTAAATTTGCTCTGTACCTAGTGTTACCCAATCTCCTAATTTTTATGTAATATCAAACAACCTTATCATTGTGTTCATTGCTGTCTTCTTTTATGTGCTAGCCATATACGGTATTGTGACTACCAATTTTTGTCAACTACCATTCAAGCTGTCATTGCAATCAATCTTATATTGTTTCTGCTGTATTGTGCCTACCAATTTGTTGTCAACAACCATTTTAAGCTGTCATTGCAATCAATCTTAGCTACCTATGTGCTTTAATATACTGTACCTACAATTTTCTCTTTTTTTTTTTTTTTTTTTTTTTTTTTTTTTTTTTATTTCATGTAATCTGTTATTATTTTTTTGTCTATAAATTTTGCAAGTATTTACCTCCTTAAAATTTTCTTAGATTAAGGACCTGCCCGAAACGCTGCGTGTGCTAGTGGCTTTACAAGACTGTAATTACCATATTTGTATCCTCACATTCCTTATGTACATTGTTGTATATGCATAAATAAATAAATAAATAAATAAATTAATCCAATTCCCCTTATTTCTTATGGGAAAAATCACTTCGACTTATGATATTTCGACTTACGATACGTCTCTGGGAACGGATTACCATCGTAAATCGAGGTCCCACTGTACATGTTATATACAGTATATGTTATAAATATATATGTTATAAATATATATTATATAAGCATGTATGTTATTTATAATTATTATATGTATATAGAAGCTGTGTACAATTTATTAATAACAAACATTGATGATGGCAGTAGAGTACCAATACGCACCACCAGCTGGCAGCCAAGACCACCCGGTGATCTAGCCGGACTGCATCCTCACTCCCATTCCTCTTATCACTTTTTAGATAAATGGTGGTCATCATTCCTTCAGGCAGTGCTTGCTTTTTGATTCCTAATGTTTCAGCATTGCCTTCCTTGGCATTGGTTTTGTTTTCTCATCTCATCATAGGTAATCAGAATTCATTATTACAAATCGGTCCTATTCACACTTGGCCATGTCTTTTGTATGAGTTAGTGTGTTGCCCATGTCTTGGGTAGTATGTACTGGCATTAGCCTCATTCCTTATTGTCTAGCACTTTACAACATTCCTTCATGGCCGGGATGGTCAGCTCCCTTTGTATTTAGGAGAGGTTTATTCACCTCTTTTTCTCAGCTGTTTGGGGAATGAGGGATCCCTTGTCTACCCCTGAAGCAAACAATTTCGCATGCAACTTTCAGGGGTATGGGCGAGTTTTTTTTGGGACGACTCCAATGGCGGCTCCTTATTCTTGTTGCTGGCCACCTACGTCACATGTTACACCAAGCACTTACAGGCAAAACCCCTGTTCCCCCTTCCTCTAAGGCAGAGAGAGCAGAGCATCACCCTAACTTTGAAATAAGCCTCCAGAAAGGTAGAGTAAAACAAAACAGACAAGAGAAAATATATCTAAGCAATTGTCTGCCTTGCTCTGAAAGCAATGCACACAATAGTTCTGCAAGGAATATCTTCCCCATCACCAGGTGGCAGCACTGGGAACTCCTGGACCAAACAGTGTAACTCTCTGGTCATTTGCCTGGTGTGGACCAGTCCACACATGCTCTTCAGGTCACTTTTGTCCTTTGGGTCACAGTTTTTCTAGATAAGTGGTGGCCTACCTGTTTGACTATCTTGCTTATGTTCCAATTCTTGTGTTATCTTTACAGGTGTGTTGATAATCCTTTCTAGTTGTGTGGACCTTCAGTAACAGTTCACCGCAAGCTGCACAGGCTTATGGTTCTTTTTCCTTGGTGCTATCTTGAGATAGCAACTCACTGGTGCTCGCTGGTGTTGCCTCTTCCCAACCAGAATTACCTTCCCTCGTGGGTTCGGTGTCTGTCTCCGAGAGGCTGGCCTCCTGTGTCTGGTGACTTTACCCTTCTTTCCCCTCCCAAGTAGTGCACAGGTCTTTGACTCCTCTGTCAGGCTCAGGGATGGAGCAATCTGGATTTCTTTGGGAGTGTAATAATATCTAAGTGTAGTTACAGCTTGTAGTGTCCCGTTTTCCCAGTACTCATTGTCGTATAACATTTTGAAACTACTGTACTGACAGTTTTGGCCTCCACCACCTTCTTGCTTAGCTTGTTCCAACCGTCTACTACTCTGTTTGCAAATGAAAACGTTCTCATTTTTTCGGTACGTTTTTTTCCTTAGCTTGAATCTGTCATTGTTCGTGATCTTGCTGGTCAATGGACAGGAATTTTTCTGTCAATTTGGTCAATTCCTATTAGTATTTTGTAAGTGGACATCATTTCACCTATTTTTCTTCTTTTTCTTCTAGTTTTGGCATATTTATCGCCTCTAGTCTCTCCTCATAACTATTGTTTTTCAGTACTGGAAGCCATTTTGTAGCATGCCATTTCACCTTTTACAGTTTATTTATGTGCTTCTTGAAATTTGGGCACCATACAACTGCTGCATATTACAATTTTGGTCTCGCAAAAATTCATGAAGTTTCTTTATTATTTCACTATCCATATAATTAAAAGCAAGTCTGAAGTTGGAAAGCGATGCATACGCTCCTCTCACAATGTTCTTTTTGTGAACTCAAGAGATTCTGTAAATTCTTAAGCTCTGGCGACAGCTTACTATCCAAAACCACCCCTAGGTCTTGTTCTTTATTAGTTCTGTAATTTCTTTCCACATAAGTTGCAAGTTGTGTGGTGTCTATTTTCTCCATTTAATCAGAGTAAATTATTATTGGTTAAACTTTGGATGAGTGCTTTGTTTTGTTACATATAAATACCAATATTTAGACACTGTTTTCAAGGTTTTAGTGTATTAAGTTGATACATATTTCTTAAGCTTTCAGGTAAAGTGATTGTGTTAAACAGTACTATAGCTTATATAATTTTTTTTTTCCCCCAGCTGCAAGTCACTCGCAGAAAGGATCCCACAAGGACAAGAGAGATTTGGTAGCATATGATGATGACTATTTCTAAGTACCTGCCACCAGTACAATTGAACACATTATTAAAGTTTTTATTTGCTTTTATTTTTTTTTTTATTTTATAGTTTATGCAGTCTTAACCCCTTAACTGCGTTGCCTCCAAATATGACACCCCCGCAGTGCGCAGGAAATAAATTCTCTGGAAAAAATTCTTTTTTCTTTTTAAAGTGTCAAAAACCCTTCCCTCATTATGGGTATGTAAAAAAAAAAAAATCAAAATTGTACTTTGGCTGCTATGGGGTCCGGAAGTTGGGGTGTGACATCATCATTCCCCGTGCGCCCATGACGTACGCTCCCGGGGCCAGTAGGGCTCTCGGGGCAGGGCGTGCGAGTTGCCGCGAATATATTTTCGTTCATTTTTTGCGCACAGTTCCCAATGCAATTTAATTGTTTTTATGTGCCAATCCAATGTATAATGAACACGTACACTATATTATGACAGTAGAACATCCGTACTGTCCATAGACACTGTTATGTGCATCACAAACAAGTTCACTTATCCTGCACAATTTCCAATGTATCATGCCTAATAAATTTATATTTACACTTTATATACACACACTGTACAGTATCACACACCATAAACACACTCAGTACTCCGCGAGTGTGTAATATGCTGCGAAACAGCCAACGGCGCAGAGTGGCACCTTGCACTCCTCGCACCAGGTGCTAATGCATCTTCGTTTTTGTTCTCTGAGGGTAGTGTTCCTGCTTACTATACACGCACGTTTACCTTTCTCCCGTGATGCTGTGCCTGGCATATACTCGAGCATTCTTCGAGGTTCTCCGTACTCCGAGGTTCTCATTACCCCTCAATCTGTCTGGAGCTGCATATGGCATTGTTGCTTGCACCCTGCACGGTACAACAGAGCCCTCCTTGCCATACTTTACTAGCAGCTGTGACACAACACCAGCACTGAATATACGTATAGACGGTCTCCTGCCTGATTTTACTAGGTACATATTGAAGCAGTTGAGCACTGCAACATCCATGAGGTGGAAGAAGAACTTTTTGGTCCACTTCACAGACTTGTGCACGCACTCCACTCCACCAAGCATCATGTCACATTTATCGACGAGGCGCATGTTCACGTTATAGCCTATGACACAGTCTGGCTTATACACGGTGTTGCGTGTCTGAAAGTGGACTTTCCCACTGTCCAACATGGTACCAGTGTGAATCGTAGTCAGCATATTCACCTCGCATCTGTCCTTCCACCGCACTGACAGCATATTGTCACACTTGCACAGCTGGCACTCACCCATGGCTATACCTATACCGAACACTGGCATTTCCTTCCTGTGGGCCTTCACAGTGCCACATACTCCGGTGTTATGGGCAAGGAGGTATCTGGTCAACAAGGGGCTGGTGTAATAGTTGTCGGTGAACAGTATATGCCCCTTGTTCAGGAACGGTTCCATCAGGGTTTTTACGACACTGCCAGAGAACCTGTGTTCATCTTAAGCTGGTATGTCGACGTCTGTACCAGAATATAATATCATGTCCAAGACGATACTAGTCTCACAGTCGCACAGCACAAAAAACTTCAGTCCAAATCGGTGCCGCTTTGATGGGATGTACTGCTTGAATGCCAGTCGCCCCTTGAACAGTATAAGCGACTACCCCGCCTGGTAACACCACCGCTGCCCGTACTCGGGTCGTCCACAGTACTCGTATCGGAGCCAATGTCACTGAAGCCTGAGAAAGATTTGTCACATGTACTGTCACTGAATAAACTACTAGTGTCAGGGGACATACATGATGGTGGTGATGATAACGGTGTTGACCCAGGGCGGCGAGGCGCGTGTACTGTACACGCTCGCCAAATCTTCCATTTCCATCTCTCCCTCACTCGTATCAGATCTCTGAGTAAGGTCTTTCTCTGGATCATAGTCTAGGTCATCATACAAAATATCGCGTATTTCCTCCTCGGAAAGTCGTTTTCCATGACCTCGGGTCACCGTGGAGCGGGAGCCCGTAGAGGATGCGTCAGACATGGTTGCTGCTGTGAAACTGAGGCTCCCCACGGCCGCAGGGCATGCTGGGATTTTTATTTAAGATGGCGGACGATCACTGGGGCCCCCACCCACCCATACCATACCCGCGTCACCGCGCGCCAGTTTTGAGTGGAACGTGAAAAATAAAAATACCCGGAGGCGTTGCACAAACTAGACGTGGGCCTGCAGGCGTGTTGCACAATTTAAGGGTTAAGGGGGGCATCAGTCCAAAAATATGCAATAAATGAAAACAAGTTTGATTTCAATCAAACTTTTTTGACGAGTTGTATATGAAAAGGGTTTCATCTGGTCCAAGTCTCAGCATCGTAGCATAAATAGGAAGGGAGAAAGAAAATATTGAATTGTCAAAATTTTTCCAAAATTGTCAAAAATTAACATCAAACACATGTGTCAACTGAAATCATGTTTGACTCTCAGCCATCACAATAGCATATAATAAAAATATTTAATAATTAGTTTTATCCAAAAAAATTTAGTTCATTTTTTTTTTTTTTTTTTATTGGACGATTTGCATGAAACTTGTACACCTGACTGCATGTAAGCCTATCGGTAAGGGTGCCAATTTTGGAAAAAATTGGTTGATGTCAACCTCAGCCACAGATGGCAGAACCTTTTATTTTATTTTTACTTGTTTATTTTCAAGTAACATAAACGGTCCAATAACATTCATTTTTTATTTAATTTACATGTATACGTAGAGTTTTTCTACAAATCTGTTTCAACTTTTTTTTCTCCTAAGTTCATTTATTGATTTTATAATAATAATAAACCATGATATATTTGCATAATTTTTTATGGAAATTTGACTATTTGTATTAGTAAAACTAAACCTATTTTGGAAAATCCGCTGAAACAGATCCTTTTATTATATGCTAATGTGATACAAGAGTGTCATAGAAATGATTTCATTTGAAACTTGTGGTTGTAATTTCAATTTGAAAATGTGTAAAATTCGTTGAAAAAAACGGAAAAAAATAAATCTTCTTTCCTATTTATGCTATGATGCTGAGACTTGGACCATATGAAACTCTTTTTAATACTGTATACAACTTTTCATAAAAGTTTGATTGAAATCGAACTAGTTTTCATTTATTGGACTTAAATTTAAACCCCTTCTTGGGGCTCCCTTAAATTTAAGAAGCATTTTATCTAAGCTGTAATTACATATTCAAGAAGGTGATTAATAGATTTGAAGATACATTTGACTGTACTAACTCAAAGGGATGCATTATTAATATATGTTATTTGAAGGCATAGTTGGTGTTTTGGTAGGCAGAATAGTGCAGCAGTACACTTCTTCCACAAAGTCAGTCAGCCAGGGCAATTCTTCAGAGAAGAAATGTGAAAAATCTCATTGTCTAAACATGATAATGTGCACCAGCCATTTATCACAAAATGTACCATGTGGTACAGAAATAATTGGGATTTTGGACACAACTAAAATTAGGTCTACAACGTGACATTGTATAATAGGCAATCAGTAAAATTTTAATCTCGTGTGCAAGTTGTTGTTTTTTTCATCCCAAATACATGTACTGTATAACAAATTGTAAAGTGCTCTAAGAGGCACTCTGACAAAGTTGTCTTTGCCAAATCGGCAAAGTTGTGCAATTCTGGCTAAAACTAATAAAAACAGATGCATGTGTATGTATATATATATACAATTACAGTATAGTATATACAGTGCAACCTTGATTTGGCAAATCTCTGGCTGCAATGCACACTTTTCTAGCCGAATTTATTAAACCCATTTCACTGAACAAATGTTTGATGAAGGTGGAGATGCGACCTGTCCTCTTAGAAAGAACGTCGCTTTTGGCCGTTTGCCCATATGGCCGAATATGGACGTACTGTAATTTGAAAATGAAAAAAAAAAATTAAATTAAATTTGGGATTTTTTCTGGGGGGAACCCCTACGGCTCCCCGGAGCTATCCATGGCGGATATGGATACCCTAACTATTTTGCATCAGTCGATGTGGGTGGAGTTCTAGGCCTACCGGGGACCACGAGCCAGAACCTGGCCCCCCTCAGAGAGGCACGGGGTGCAATGGCTCATAGAATTGCACATGTGATTTGGAGCATTCTATATCTGCCATCGACCGGGACAGGCACCCAGAAAGGTAAGCGCCACAAAACAAACCCCTATTCTGGTTAACAACAAAAATCGACAAACGAGTGGACAGAACTCCCCCAGGAAAACGAACTAACAAGCATGACGTCACACGAGCCGCGCCGCATGTCTGCGCAGCTCCCCCCTCCCCGGGAGGGGGAAGGGAGAGCCCCTTACCTAGAGGTTACCTTGAGGTGCTTCCGGGGCTTAGCGTCCCCGCGGCCCGGTCGGCGACCAGGCCTCCTGGTTGCCGGACTGATCAACCAGGCTGTTGGACGCGGCTGCTCGCAGCCTGACGTATGAGTCACAGCCTGGTTGATCAGGTATCCTTTGGAGGTGCTTATCCAGTTCTCTCTTGAACACTGTGAGGGGTCGGCCAGTTATGCCCCTTATGTGTAGTGGAAGCGTGTTGAACAGTCTCGGACCTCTGATGTTGATAGAGTTCTCTCTCAGAGTACCAGTTGCACCTCTGTTTTTCAACGGGGGCATTCTGCACATCCTGCCATGTCTTCTGGTCTCATGTGATGTTATTTCTGTGTGCAGGTTTGGGACCAGCCCCTCTAATATTTTCCACGTGTAAATTATTATGTACCTCTCCCGCCTGCGCTCAAGGGAGTACAGTTTTAGGCTCTTTAGTCGGTCCCAATAGTTTAGATGTTTTACTGAGTGGATTCTAGCAGTAAAGGATCTCTGCACGCTCTCCAGGTCAGTAATTTCTCCAGCTTTGAAAGGTGCTGTCATTGTGCAGCAGTACTCCACTCTAGAGAGCACAAGCGTTTTGAAAAGTATCATCATCGGTATAGCATCTCTAGTGTGAAAAGTTCTTGTTATCCAACCTGTCATTTTTCTTGCAGTTGTGACGGCTACTTTATTGTGTTCTTTAAAGGTAAGGTCTTCCGACATGAGTACACCCAG